TGTTTTTAAGATGCATTTAGGTATTACATTACACTTGGTAAGGCACTTGGGTTTCTTGAATTTTGTAATGATGTGTGTTTGAACCTGTTGGCAGGTAGCATTGGCCGGCAAAGTGCGAAACGGAACACTAGTAGCATCCTGCCATGTCACGGACAGTCGGGCAACACGTCGACGAAGCTGGCCCCGAGAAGACAAACCAGACTGCCATTTAAGAAGCAGAAGGTGGACAGTGATACTGTTAAACATTCTGAAATTGACCCTGTGAGATTAATGTACCGGTCCAACATTTCGGGAGTTATCAAGACTGTGCTTGAGTTGGAGTTGGGAGACAGACATATTTGGCAATTGGAGAAAACACCGTTTTGGCCAATGGTTGACGCTATCTGGGTCCACAAACTAGATCCTAGAACATACATGAAGTGTGATGCAACAGTATGTCGGATCATTCAAACGTACTATCCGGGAGATGAGAAGTTTTACATTGGTGGGGTTGGGCTCCCCCTCAGGAACAACGATATCCGTTTGATGTTTGGAACTAAATGTGGTAAAGACAAATTGGATTTGGTGCAAAGTGTGAAAGGTTTGTCGAATTTTATGCAGAGACGTTGTCCCAACGTGGGACGGATGTCTTCGAAAGTTATCAAAGATTTACTGATGTAGGCTATTTGTGGTCGTACAGAACGCGACGAAGAAGATGTAGCCAAGTTGCTTTTCCTTTATATATGTGCGAAATTATTTTTTGCAACTACGGGCGAGCATATAGGGTGGGCGTTTGTGCGTGTCATTGACAAATTGGAAATATTACAAATGTATGACTGGACTGCGGCAATCCGTAACACCTTGATAACTTCGCTGAATGAAACGCACAGTAGGCCAGAGAGGGCTACAGGTTGTGTCGTCACGTTGCTGGTGCGCATTCTAAACATGCTACTGCATCGCATTCTTGCTCCACATATGCAGGTATATGTTTTTTACGTGATCGGCTAACGTGTGTGTCATATTGTAATTGCAGTTTCTTATTTGCGAGCATTCAGAAATTATTAAGCCAGATCGCAGTAATATGACGCCTCGTTTCTGCAGATGGAACCTTGGAACACTGATAGAGCGGTTAAAAGGGGTAAACTTGTTGGCAATAGGCTCCATTAAGGTATGTCACGAGACCGAACTTGTTTTTTTTCAGTGTTTATAAATTAATATTTATGATTGAGACAGTGTTAAATTTTTGCAGGTTAAGTGTGATAAAATTGTTGGGACAAGTAATGAGTGCTACCTATTAAAACCGGCGCTAAATGGGATGGAGGCGGAACAAAATGAGGGGATCGTGTTTGATGTTGATCTGGTGACTGTGTGGCGTAAGGAGGGTGTTGATGTTAGTGTAGAAGATGTGGCTGTTTTGGAGCCCAGTTTTGATTGGTGGCGGCCTGATTCGCCTAACGGTGGTAATGTCGAGATGAGTGGATTAAGTGAAACTGAGAACAGAAATATTAGGACACCGGATGGGAAGAAAAAAATGAATAGGAATATATTTGAAGCTGGGGGATCATGGCCGGTGTTGTATCCAGATCTATCAGACCTGTCATGCACACCAGATATTGATACAGCACACACTGACACATCTGGACAGAAGGATGAGTTGCAAAAAGCTATGGAGAGGATTAACGATTTGGAAAATGAAGTAAAAACGAAGACGGCACGAGTATGTGAATTGGAATTTCGGGTTAAATCAATGGAGAAGTTGCTTGGGAAATAGGTTGCAAATTTGTTCGTAGGTTTTGACAGCGTTATTGTTGAAAAAGATGCTGAAATTGCACGTCTTGAAAACCTGGTTCAACAGCTGAAGGGTACAATATCTAATTTAGAGGACAATCTTGACAATCGTGAGGTGCATGATGTAACGCAATCCGTGGCGGTTGATGGATCCAATCATCAAACACCTTCTAACAGCCGGTCTGTGGGAGAAAATGGTACAGGGGCCGACACAAGTGGGAAAATTGCACAACAACATTCATCTCTTGCAGGCCGGGACGAGGACGGCCGCAAACCTACAATCGAGTTAATTGAAGATATGGATGAAGTTGAAGATCTTACAGTAGACGACGCAGATGGGTATAGTAGATTTGGTATAGACACAGTTGATTGTGCAGCTGTTGGTGTTGATGTGACCACAACATGCAAAGGAAAAAAAAGTGGTGCAAGCCCAGGTTATCATGTAACATCACTGGTTAGATGCGTAAAGAACAAGCCAAGACACAAATTTAGGCTGATTGACTTCAAGTATCCTGCTCTGGGGAGGCGGACCAAACAGAGCAACAGAGTGGTAGTGCGTAAATCTACGGAGCCCGATGTGATTTACAGTGTTGAGGACGTTGAGGATGCGTGTAAAATGTAGAGTGGGTTTGCTATGAGCAAACGTCATGCCGTGTGGAACATGCTGAATGATGATGAGGTGAGACTATTGGAGATGACATACAATTTGGATGGTGACGGGTAAGTTTTTTTTTTTAATTTGTTATAATATTTTTTTGGTGTAAAGGAAACAATGTTGTAGTTGTTTTGTTGTTAAATTAAGGGGTGTGTTGCAGGGCATTAGTCTGGGATGGTGGTGACAATGAAGTGCAAGTGCATTTTACTGATGTCTAAGACTTGGTACAACAGAACTCGATCCATGGCAATGTAAGCACACATTGCATAGTTGTCAAATGATATCGTTGTTAGATTTGGTTGTGACTAATATGGCTAATAATGTAAGAATTTTAAATTTGCTATGTGAGATGGTTCGGTAGGTAAGAATGCATGCTGCAGGGTAATTTAAATTTAACAATGATGTCAGGTTTTGGTCGGTACACATGAATTTTTATAATGTAAACGTGTACGTCACACCATGACGCGTGTAAAACACGATATAAATGTGATAGTAATGTATTACTTGCATGTAATTGGTACATTGGAATCCTTATGATTGGCATATGGTGTAGGTAATCGATGCGTATGCCGCTATACTAATGGAAGTATAGAGGAATGTGGGTTTTAGGACATGACATGCGGGCATGACATACGTGTACAGCAGTGTGTGCGCGGTATGTAATGCGTTTTTCGTACCTAACCAGTCCATACGGAATAATAGGTGTTGAAAACATTGCAGAAGAAGTGTGTAAATTGACATGTACCGTTTATGCAGGACATGATAAGGAACAGTAGCGCACTATCGAGGGCTAAGTACTTGAATGTGCATGCGAAGGCATCAAGAGGGTGTCGATTCACAGTGTACCCCATATGCCATGCAAACCACTGGACTATCATGGTCCAAGATGCGGAATGCAATTTATGGAAACATTACAATTCCATGAGACCTAGACGTGGGGTTCGGGACGTGCATTACAACGAGGCTCTTAAAGTGGTATGGATGTGTTACGTTGATTGTTGTGTTGTGTTTCGATGCGTGTAATAATGTTATGTAATTAACAAACACATTGGTTATAGCGTGACTGAACTGACATGAAATTGGTTACCAGAAACAATGGGTGGCTGACCACCATACAAATTACGTGAAGCCCAAAGTTGGAATGAAAGACGTGCAGACAGAGCAATTTGATCGAGCCCTTGTGTCAGTTGTGGATTGCCCGCAACAAGAGCCCGATTCGTAAGTGTTGTCTGTGCTTTTTTTTTTCCTCTCAAAAATTGATGTGTATAATGTGACGCTGGAATTGGTACTGTGTATGCAGGTCAGATTGTGCAATTATGGTATGCTTCATTATCCGTCAGCACATTCACGGGATAGAAATCAACAGCATGATGGACGGGATCACTCCCATTGGTTTGCGGGCTGCGTTAGTTGAGATGTTCTTGAATGAGCCAGCAAGAGGACTACGTGCCAGGACAGCATAGGATTTGGTTTTGGTAATCATCAACAGCAGCAGAACTTGTCCACCTGAATTGTCTGTTTTTTTTAATTGGTACTTAGCTGGTTTTTGTTGGTAATGGGGAACATTGTGGACATACGGGTGGTTGGGTTTTTGATCTGTTAGTCAGTGTTAGTTAGTTTAATGGTGTTTTTTTTTCCCCACATTTTGTAGTCGTATGTATGGTTTGAACAATTTGTTCCAGCTTCCGGGTCTGCATGATGTGTGGTGGTTCGTTTGGGAATTGCTAGACATTGATGTGCATAATTTGGATGCATTTTAAGCAGTTAATTGGTTTTTGGTACGTTAATAGTTTCGGTAATATTGGCGTAATGGTGTGTTTTATTAACCGAATAAGCACATTGGCTGTTTTTTTATGCGCAAAGTGGAGTGTTTGATTTGTTTTGATGGACCAGCAGATGGACTACCACCTAATGTTGGTGTGTTTTATTGCTTAATGGACTAGCAGATGGTTTACGACGTAATTGTTTGATAATTGTAATTGTGTTTAATTGTTATTTGTATTTTTTTTTTGGTTGATGTTACCATGTGCTATGGCTGAAGTGAATGTGGTATGTACGTGTATGTGCTGAACAGATAATGGTTTGGGTGGTGATATGGTTACATGCTAATGTCAATAATGTTCACCCTCGATGTGAACATTGTTTGCATGTGTTGTGGTTGGCTTATTTAAACGTCTGTGATGTGAACAAAATGTTACCGTAGGAAGTGTTGTTGGTGTGGATGGCTTATTTAATTAGGCATCAGAAATTTTGTTCTTTGTTGGTATGGGTTGTGGTCCAAATATCTTTTACTCTAATCAATTACATTGAAAGGGTGTGGTGGTGTTGGCTAAAGTAATACATAGCAACACACATGGAATATGACACAGAAAATGGTGAAAAAATACAAATGGAAAACAAGTATGCAGTGTATGGCATGGGGACTGAATTTTAGTGATGTTCAAGGGGCCTTTATAAAAATCACAAATAGTGTTGAAAATGTAAAAGTGGTTGACAATTGAGAAACAAAAAATGGACATTAAAACATAATGGTTCTTGTCATAAACTGAGTTTGTGGAAAACAAATTAAACAACTAATCTATATTGGCTCTTTACATGTCTTCCTATTGTTATTGCCCAACTTTCTACATCGACCACTCCTGATGTGCTGTACTACTTCGCCTCTCGATGGAATCCTTTTTCGCTTGGGCCTACCTGGTGGGCGCTTCACTGCTGGTGGCATAATCATGTAATCTGTTGGTGTGGAAGATGGCTTCCCCATAGTTGGAATAGGATATATTGTTCCGTTGTACGTTTCTTTGAATGTGTCAATGTGGAATGCATGGTCTATCGACTCATGAATGTCCCTTCCACTATCACGAAACGCAACAACGGCATGGGAACATGGAAACCCGTTTATTTGCCACTGAAAACAAGAACACACCCGCCTGGCCACGTCCACCAAAATTGAAGGATGAGAGTGGACCTCATATACATTGTCATTAGCTTGACTAACACACCAAGATCTACTGTCATTGTACGCCATGGTTAGTTTTTTTTCCATTTTCAAACATATCACGTCGGGCCATTTGGTGCATTTAACTCTGCATTCCGCCATTGGCTCCATGATTTGTCCCCTTATCATATCAACCAGCTTAGTAATAGGAAGTTGATGAGCATCGCGTACCCAATTGTTGAAAAATTCGGCAGCGTTCGAACACATCTCTCCGTAGCGTTGACCTCTGCAACATACCCAAAGTGAATCCAAATGGAGGATAGAAATGATAACATCCAAAAATAGCTACTTAAAATGAATCCATAAAAAAAATACACTAGTATAACAGCATACACAAAACATTGAGGGGAGTGTGTACTACCTGAAATACGTGTTAGCCCAATGTTTAGGATGTAAGTCTTTCAAAAAATTCTCAATCACAACAGTGCTGGACTTCTTCAATGCTTCCAATTTCTCATTGAAACAAGCGACGGTAGGTGCGTAAGCACAATCACGTAACTTGCGCATCAAACCAACCTTGTGCGATGCGCTAACGTACTTCATGTGGTCTCGTAAATTCATTTGGAGATGAAACAAACAATATCCATGGTGTGCGGACGGGAATATGTTTGGCATAGATTGCAGCAGTCCAACGTGGCGGTCAGATATAAATGTCAACGTCCGACCATCACCAACAACTTCTTTCAAATTCCGAAGAAACCATTCCCAATTAGCTGAATTTTCCGAATCAACAATAGCGAACGCAACTGGAAACAATCCTAAAAATACATAATGGAAGCACATGGTATAATAAAAAAATGGTATAATAAATTGGATGGTATAATAAATGGTATATCAAAAGTGGTATTACAAATGTGTCATGTTGTATAACCATCTGTGCAATGCATACATTTCGAAACAGTAACAACCTTGTAATAAGAATGTGAAGATGTTTTACATTGCCGTGAGTTGATTGTCCATGACATCACATTTATACATGGGTTAAATTATACGAGGAAGTTGAATTGTAAAAATATCGGACGGAACACTATATGCGTAGTCATACATGGTAATAAAACAGAAAACAGTTTGGTACCTTGGTTACCGTCTTTAGCGGTAGCGGCGAGCAAATTACCTTTAAATTTTCCTTCCAGGAATGTTCCGTCTAGAAAGAGCAGAGGCCAACAATAATTAAACCCATCCATACAAGCACAAAACGATATGAAATACCGAACGAAACTCCCACTTTTTTGATCAAATTCAACATTAATGTAACTGTTGGGATTTTTTTCCATAACGGACTCACTGTACCACCTTAGTTGGTCGAACGACATGGCATGATCCCTAAAAACTTCACCCCTCGCTTTCTCGACACCCAACCATGCTACCCGATAACTAATGTCCAATCCATAATCATTTTTTAAATCAAACACCACATCCGTTAGGCGTATGTAGCACGCACCCGCGAGGAGCCCCGCTACAGTTCGGACTCGATTTGATGTCACGGTTCTAAATCTGAACCAAAGCGTCAAAATCTAGCAAATCGTTTTGAGAAAGTAGATTTTTGAAAAGAAGTGTCAAACATGGACTGCTTTGCCAGATACAGAGTCGCCACCTAAATATTTTTTTATGGGGAATTTAGGAAACCCTGACTCGGTGCCGAAGGCCACATGTCCGTCATCACCAGAGTTGCCTCGGCTCGGGAGCTAGGGTACGATTGGGGAAGGTCAGCTATGAGCACCCCCCTCTCGCCCGATCCGAAGATCGGCCTCTACTAACCATGATATCCGTTTTTGAAAACATTATGTGTTCTTAAACCAATTATTAGCCTAGCGTTACTATGTTATGCGCACAGCAAACAAGTATAGACTAGATAGCCTAATTTGGAAATAAGCATTGCATATCCGTGTGTCTTAAAAAAAAAGTACTTTGGAATTTGCTACTCCCAAGTAGGCTAAAATACGGATTTCAACGAGTTTTTCCAACTCAAACAATCCAACCTTCACCCACAGGCATTCAAACAATTTATAGCACATAAGCATCTAGCCACATGGTAAGCATGCTATCAGGTTAACATTCACACGCATGCGATATGCTAAAGCATAAATACTTACATCGTACTCCGTGCCAAAACAATAAACTGGTTAGCAAACATGCGTGTCCTAGTTCATGTGAAGTTGACTAATGCAACGCATGCAGGATGTAATTAGAGTAGGCTCGGCTAACCTAATCATGGCATGCGAAAATGCGATCAATTTGACGCACGTATTCAAATTTGGAATTGGGGTACAAATGCAGTTAGCATGATGTACCGAGCCTAATGCATGCAATACAAATGCATGAATGCACGCATGCATAGCATAAGGTATGCTAATTTCAAAAATGCCCTAATCTACCATCATAAGCAGGTAAATAAAAGGGAAGAAAGACGTGGGATTGGAAGGCATACACACACTCACGCACACTTATTACATAATTACCCTCACTCGAAGGGGGGAAATGAATATTACAGTCCGAATAACAAACAAATAAATTATTACAGAACTTCTAATTTACTTAATAGGATGAATGCAAGAGGAAGAAATGTGGCCACAGCCCCCTGCCTCGGGATGCGCGTGTGATGCATGCTCGAACCCGTCTTGCCCGGAAAACCCGTACCATACCCCTGCCACCTCTGTTTATACTGTCCTGTCTCTCTGAAAATTTCCAAAGCCCTAGGACAAGTTCCTTGCATGCTGCAGAGTACCACCGGCTAGGGGAAATTCGCACCGGCAGTGCAGAATTTCCATCGGCTGTACTTGGGTTTATCGGCCATCCATCAATGGCCGGTCGGCACTGAATTATGCCGGTCGGCAGAAGTTTCCTGCAGAAGACAGATTTGACAGCAACAGAGAACAGACAGTATATGGCATGGGATTTCAGGTACATGTGAGCATGGTCATGCTTCCCATCATGCTTTGAGCTCAGGGAAGCATGGCCCTCGATCCTCGAGCCATCAATGGTGCATGATAGCCCAAGGGATCAAGTTTGCCACTTGATGTAAAGATGCATGCAACACACAAATGAAGACCAAGGCCTTATCATGTTGAAGTCAAAGGCCCCGGTGACCGAAAGTTAAGGCACGTTACATCACTTATGGTATGAACGCCCCTCAACCCTCACACTTGGTTTGACACCCCAAACCAAGTAATGCAATGCATGTTATGCAAACATGGCTCAAAATGCAACATGATCAAACACACAATCATCAAGTGCATGAGTGATGACGCCTAATTCTTGAGGACGGTTAAAAATGGGGTGTCTACAGCAACCTGCATGGGAAGTTGTTACAGAAGATGATCATCCTATCCTTGTTCACATTCACCGAGCTCCATGAGATAGGGATGCAAATCGAAGATGCCATGAAACAGGGGTTGATTACGGATGAGAAGGAGCCAGCGAATGATAGTACAACTCGAAGTTGTAATCCTCCATAAATTCCATCCACCTCTGTTGGCGTAGATTCATGTCTTTTTGGGAAAGCAAATACTTTAGGCTCTTATGATCGGAGAAAACCTCAAACTTCTCACCAATGTCTCCAAATTTTCAAGGCAAAAATTACCGCCGTTAATTCTATATCATGAGTGGGGTAGTTTTTCTCATGAGTTTTTAATTATCGTGAGCCGTAGGCCACAACCTTCCTTTCTTGCATCAAGACACAACCAAGACCATCTCGGGATGCATCACAATAGACCGTATAACCCAAACCTCTTTCCGAAATTATCAAAACCGGTGCGGTGGTCAATCTAGTCTTAAGTTCTTGAAATGACTTTTCACAAGCTTAACTCCACACAAATCTAAGACCCTTTCTTGTCAACCTAGTCAAAGGTGAGGCTAATCTAGAGAAGTCCCGTACAAAATGACGATAATACCAAGCTAATCCCAAGAAACTCTAGATCTGAAAAACATTTTGTAGAAATTTAATGTATAAAGAGAAATGATTGTATTATTGATTGATCTAATGTTATTGATGATGATATGTTATTACAATGATTCATGATTCCTATATATAGAAGAGGGTGAGTGTGTAGTAGGTAAGGAGTAGGTGAAGTGGAGGTGGTAGTGGTGTAGTGGGTTAGGCTTTCTTTCAATAGCATCTTTTACCCCTCATCAAAATACATATTAGTTTGGGAAAATAGCATTTAAGTGGGAACAACTCTGAGTAATTACATTTTCAAGGAGGTGCAAGTGAAATCAAGTGAGAGTAGTGTCGCATGCCACAACTTTTACTTGCACCGGACATAGGTTCACTTGCACCACGATGAAAGTGCATTTATTTTGAGTTATTCCCATATAAATGCAATTTTTTCTGTTAGTGTTCTTTAATATGGAAGTCAATTTCTTGAGGCCTAAAACTAAGGACATGCTAAAGTGACCTCCATAATGCGTGAAAATCATTAGTAGCATACTTTGAACTTGAATGGCTTGTTTATTGTTTATCATTCATAAGGAATATGAAACCAGCCTGGTAAAATAAGTTCATTTGGCTTATCTATTATTTTATTGTATATTTTACCATAGCAAGACGTTTTGTTTTGTCTTGTTTTTTAAATACAGCTGGCACAAAATATCTACATAAAGTAGATGAACAGTGGTCGGCTGCCCAAAAATGTCATTTTGACAAAATTTAGTGCCAACCGGCAACAAAAAGTGCCGACCGGCAACAAAAAGTGCCGATGGCAACAAAAAACCAGCCGGTGACCTCTAGCCACTGCTGGTGGTGTGTGGGGATGTGTCACAAGGCATTCTCTGCCCCTCCAAGGCAAAACACAAGTGTTTGGTGCAAAACCAGACACTAAACAGTCAAGTTCGGAGATCCTAAGGCAAGGCGCGTAGCCGAGACCTCCGGGAACTCCAAACGAACACAAACAAGGGTAATCACCAAGTGTTCCAATGGTGATGTCCAAGTCTTGAGGACGGTCAAAAATGGGGTGTCTACAGTTGCCCCTCTTTGACAGAACTCGAAAGTCATAACAATGACGGGAGTGAATGTCAAAGCCCGGAGATGACCCATTTTTCACAAGGCCGAAAACTCAGACAAACATGCAAGACAAACAAGATATGCGCCCGAAGGCAGGGCTCAAAATGCAAGACAATGCACGAAGCCGAACATAACTTAAGATCATGCAAAGAAAGCTGTAACGAAGCACACATGCGACAATTTTAAGCTAGCATACACCGAACTACACTACAATGCAGAAGGGATGTAAGAGAATTACGTAATTCTCGATACGTCTCACTCGGAGGATACAATACCTGTGCGGCTCGTCTGGTTGTACCAGCCTCAAATGAACCGTACACACAATATCGTTCCTGCAAAGAAAACAAACTTAACAGGTACAATATCGTTAGCAACATGCATAATAGTATACTCGGCATGCGTGACAACGCAAAGCAAGTGGGGAACACAACAATGCTGTGGAGGTACAGATGTGTAAGTGGAACATGCGGTCTACGCAGGCAATGAGTTTGATCGTAAGTATGCGGTCTACACAAGCAATGAAATTGGACATAAGAATGCGGTCTACGCAAGTAGAATATGCGGTCTACGCAAGTAACGAAATTGCACGGTCATGTGGTCTACGCAAGTAATGTAATTAACATGCGGTCTACGCAAGCGAAACATGCGGTCTACGCAAGTAATGAAATTGAACAATCATGCGGTCTACGCAAGCAAAACATGCGGTCTACGCAAGTAATGAAATTGATTAATCATGCGGTCTACGCAAGTAATGAAATTAACATGCGGTCTACGCAAGCAAAACATGCGGTCTACGCAAGCAAAACACGCGGTCTACGCAGGTAATGAAATTAACATGCAGTCCACGCAAGCAAAACATGCGGTCTACGCAAGTAATGGAATTGATTAATCATGCGGTCTACGCGAGCAAAACATGCGGTCTACGCAGGAAATGGAATTGATTAATCATGCGGTCTACGCAAGCAAGACATGCGGTCTACGCAGGAAATAGAATTGATTAATCATGCGGTCTACGCAAGCAAAACATGCGGTCTACGCAGGTAATGAAATTGATTAATCATGCGGTCTACGCAAGCAAAACATGCGGTCTACGCAAGAAATGGAATTGATTAATCATGCGGTCTACGCAAATAATGAATTTGAACAAACATGCGGTCTACGCAAGTAAAGAAAGTGATTACAAACATGCGGTCTACGCAGGTAATGTAATTAACATGCGGTCTACGCAAGTAAAGAAAGAGATTACAAACATGCGGTCTACGCATGTAATGTAAT